CTGTCTCTAAGTGTAGCCCTGTGATAGACTGGTTACCTGTCCAGGTGAACCTGCCTTCACCCTGAGTCAGCTGGGATAGGCTCCGCCCCCCATGACCCTGGTGAGGATGAAGGTGTAGAGATGATGGATGGATGGATGGTTCCAGCCAACATGTCTTTTAATAACGAGACATTCATTACATATTTCTATTCTATCTCCTATTGGACCCCAGGAGGACGAGCAACCACCCTGTGGAAGCTAACGAGGAGCCGAATAAAGAATAAAGAAAATTCAACTGTTCACACTTTTCTAGAGAAATAATCATCTCAGATGGCTTACATCAGGCAAGAAAACAGAGAGAAAGGCCTCCAGTTATGGCAGCATCATACAGATGTGTTCCTTGTGTTCCTATCTGATAGAAATGGTTTTTCCCACTAAACAGTCTGTAGAGCTTAGCCGTCCTCCAATGAGCAGCTCCTCCATGTTCAAACACGTGATAACCAGGCTCAAGGCTGTGTGTGTATTTCATGAAGAAACGACCTTAAATAGCTGCGAGTCTATAGAATGCTAGAATAACAGGACCTCAATGCAGCAGCACCATGACAGAAACACTACATACACCCCAGACACTCACAGTAATGCCTTCCCCTTTCTAATCCTCTTTGATTCTCCCCCTCTGGCTCCACACAGTGAAACACAAACTCCTGTTATTAGGCTGCAACCATCATTTAAAAAATAATGATAAAATTAAAATGAAAAATGCAACTAAAACCCAAAATAACTCTTCTCTGAAACTCAACCTCGGACTGAATCTGAGGAATCCCCACCTTTTCAAACAATCTGTTAAGCAGCTGTAATGCCCGTCCTCAGCTTTAGCTCCTCTGAAGCACCACTGAGGGAACTCCTAACAAAGCAGCTGATGAATGGGGCTGGCAGTGTCAGCGCGCTGCACTGGATGCACGCAGCAACAAACAAGATAATAAAATGTTTTTAATACAACACGGCGTACGCTCTAAGTAGGATGAAGTAGATAGGGAGGGAGACAGATAGACAGAAAGCAAGCTGTCTCTGTGACAGTTTAAAATGTGATTTGCCAAGCACTGGGAGGAAGGATTAGGGACTGGACTGCTCCACAACACGCACATATCCTGGCTTTCTAATCCTAAAACACATTAACAGCCATAATTATACAGCTACAACAGATTAGCGCTGCAGAAAAATAACTGAGTGACGAGAAGAAAGTGAGAAAAATGCACACGGAGCAAATACAAAGGAAGGAGAGGGAACGAGATGAAGCAATTAAGGAGACGAGCAATTCAGCATCCCTGAGAGGAGGAACACGAGGGGGAGGAGGAGGAGTTGGCAGTCAAAGGTTGAGAAGGGGGAGTCGGAAAAAAACTGAACACAAGCAAAAGGAGAATATTTAAAATGGCACGAAACAAGGAAGAGAAAAAGGCCAAAACTATCAAAAACGTAGGAAGAGCAATGTGGAGGTCGCAAAGGAGGAGAGATCCAGAAGTGCTGACGAAGGTGTGGGAGACGGTGGAAAGAGGGAAAGAAAACAGAGGAGGACGAGAGGAGCAGGCCAGGATGCTCACGGTGTGCACGTTCTGAACAAAGACTGTCATTGACATGTGCAGGAAGCAAAGTATTTAAACACCCAGAGATCTGATCAGCAGAGCAGGGACTAGCTACACCTGTCCAGGGAGCAGCAACACCTGTAACGGTGGCGCTCTTCAGTGACATCAGGCAGACTGCAGGACTGTGAAGTGCACATTAACCTTTTGTTTCTCCATTTTCAGATCATAACATGTTTCTTCTGCAGAGACAGCAGATCAGAGGGATCCATTCACCATGAATCTGGTGGAGG